CTGCCTCAACTCACTCGACTTAACACTTCACACTGAACACTTAACAGATAACTCACACTCTGACTTCCTACGTGATGAAAAATGCTTTCGGGCCACTCGTCGTCTAGTTTTGAACCTATACAGTGTTGGGGCAGTTTTCTATAATAAGTTCGAGTGTTTTTGAAAGTGGTCACACTAGGAATAATAAGGCGTTCTTTCAATGGCAGTTAAGCACTGGCTTGATCGGGTTGCTCACAGGCGTGGGCGCATTCATGTCTCGAGCGATCAGGGAAGGGTCTTGTGACTGTGCAGGTTTGTGCAACATGCTCGTCATGAGCGGAAGCTTTTCTCGACTACGCTCTCTTTGCAGTGCCGTGCGCATTTGTGGAGACAGGCGCAAGGGAATCGTCGCCTATTTGGTGGTCTGAAGTCGGCTTCTCATGGCAGGAGCCGTTTTACAGCACTTGGGACTTGGTGGTGGCCTTTGGCGTGCTCTGATTTTCATGGCAGGCGGAATGGCTCGTGAAACTTGGGAGAAGTACAATGCGAAATCTTCGTTTTTGGCACTTCGAAGTGCTTATTTTTCTTGCGAAACGCACTTGGATGGGCTGTGTGATGTGAATCTTGATGTGCAGATTTTGTGGCAGGCGCCGCGCTTTGGGGATCGCTAGGTGCAGATTTTGTGGCCGGCAAGCGCAGCACTTTGTGAACCTCCGAAGTGCAAATCTCGTATCAAGTACGTGCTTTTTGCAGCGCTGGAGATGCAAACATGTGCTCTCGTCCGTGCGCGCAAAAAAACATGAGCGCTCTCATCTGTATGCTCTCAATGTGGGTGCTCACATATGTGCGCTCTCACGCTTTCATATGTCGTGCGCCCATATTTGTTAACATATGTGTGCTCCCATTTGTGGGCTCTAGAGTGCGTTTTAGTTCGCCATTCACCCGCTGTTTTGGTCTCACAAAAATACGCTGTTTGGGGTCTCTTGCTGGGATTATTTGATGTCTGCCATGTAGTTCAGGGGTCTTGGTTTTGCCAAACCTTGTGTGCCAAATAAAGAGGCCCTTGCAGTGTCCAACCTAAAGGCCAAGCTGGGCAAGATGCAATAAGAATCCTCAACATCCTCAACTGTCATGCTCAGCTTCCATGTCTGCATGGAGGGCCAAGGAGTGCAACTGTGGCTCTCTTTGCACCTGGACATATATATATATACATATATATACATGTACGATATGATGTGCATATACTCTGACAAAACAAAAAGAGTTGTGCAGTTTTACATTCGTTGGAAGCATCATCATCAGTGGCATTGGGGTCTTGCATGAATCCGCAAACAGGTTGGTACATCCGAGCCGTAAAAGCACATCCAAAGTGGGAAGCTGCAGAATTTGCTTTTGATTTCTTCTATATCCATATTGGTCCCATCTTCAAATCAGGGTGTTTTGAACCAGTGAAGGTTATTCCTATGTTGCTGTCCATGCACCTTCTACTCTGGGCATATTGAACAATGTAAATGAAAGGTCGTTTACCGCCATCGATGAATACGCCTGTGCTTTGTCGATGCGGGTGCAAGTTGTGCGCGTCGACTTCATCGAACTCCCAGCATCGACTTGCACCGGTGCGAAGCAAGTGACACAGTTCGTAGTCCACACTGGCCAGCATACTCCTCGCGGAGGCCGGTCTGGTGCGAGTTTGGGATCAGTAGCGTCGGGCCTTGATTTGGCAACGATGGTTCTAAAGTTAAGATAAGATAAATAAGCTATAACCATCTTTATTCCATGAATTCCCGCTAGACTTAGGTGACTAGAGTGGTAAAATTATGTAAGGATTCAAGGTGATTCAAAACCAAACCGCCTTATATATCAAAGCTAAAAACTGCCCAGCCCTCCAATCCCTGTAGCAGCATCAAAAACATCAAAAACTTCCAACTGGAGAAACAACACAGGCCCCAAGGTCTTTGAAGACCCCCCCAACCATGTTCTTGTAGAAACCAAGTTGGATGTGATCATGACGAAGCAGGTGGCTACTCAAGGTCAATGAATGTACAAACATGTCTATACAACCTACATACGGGATACCTGTTGTGAACCCACCCCAAAAACAAATGGAACACAAAAAACAAACGACGACGACGATGACGACGACAACAACAACAACAAACAAATCCATCTAAAAATGACTCGGTCAATGCTGCCCCTATCTAGTTTTGGAGTCTATTTTTTGGGGTCATGTTAACATCTTTCTTCTCTTAGTCTTCTCTCATGGTCGTTCACCTCTGAAGTCTCCCAACAAAAAAAAGACCGTCGCACAGGCCTCTGATCGCTCTCGAACGTGGTGAACTTCTCCAACAGTGCCTGATCGCGTCAGGTCCGCTCGACTGACTGTTCGTCGCCCTGGAACGGCCTTGAGCCGAAGCCTCCGTTCGCAGGCCCGGGAATCCTAGGACATGCTCAGCGCTTTTCTGGTGAAGTTCATCTTCGGGGATGATAAGCCATCAGGTGCTTCATGTTGGAGCCTGGGGGCTCAAGGAACTTCCCTCACGAGCTAAGCTCTTGCTAAATCCTTGAAGCCAAAGCAGGTGGCATTTCCCCGCCATTAATCCGGTTGTGATTCTTAGGGCTGGTAGCTTGGCGTGAAACAACATGTGCAAGAATGTCTCGTTCTTCGCGGAAGCTTGCTGCATAACTACAACAACCAAGTGTGCTTTATTTGCTTGCACCCTGAGGAAAACACTGCTGCAATTCAAGCATCCTTGCTATAGGCTATATACAACTATAAATAAACTACTGTATATATATATATATATCATGTAGCAATGACAAAGGCAAGGAGTCAAGAGTGAGGAACCTGACTTAAACAATACGCTACAGCACAACATTTTTTGTTGACCAACTATTTGCCTGGTGAAACTAACCATATACAGCAAACATATGCAAACATATTGTATATATACAAAAACTGTACACGTGGCATTTGATTTTCTGCACTTCCGATTTTCTGCGCCTCCATGTCCAACTCGCCACTTTGATCGCCAGACCGGCCCTTAGAAACCACGCTGGGTTTCAGCCGCGATCGGTCAAGGGTGAGGGCAACGCAGTTCAAGGGTGTTGGAGCAACGCATGAGTAAAACCCACTGGAATCCAAAATAGAACCGGAGTTTGGATGAGTTTGGCACCCTTGACTCAAAATGGCACAACAAAGATATTTCCAAAGGTTACCAGGCAGGTCGTCAAGCATTTGCAAACGCACCTCCTCCAACTCCCTGGCAAAGAATAGAACACCAACATATATTATATGAACTGTAAACTGGGGCCCGTTTCATTGACAGAAACTCTGAATGCCAGTCGCGCTATCAACTTGATGTCATGATGATTGTGTCTTGGAAACATATCCCTTCAAACAAGCACTTGGAGGTCCGCACAACTTGTTGATGAACACTAGTTACTAGTTGGTTGTGTGGGTGGTTCGCTGGTTGTGGGTGGTGGTTGTAGGCCTCCAGACTGATTTCTTCGACCTGTGGACCGATATGATTTTGCAGCCGAAGGACATTGGGGGCGTTTTGATCTGCTGAAAGGGCATTGATCTTCATGTCCATGATCTGCAAGCACGAGCCGTGCAGCTACACTTTCTGGAGTGAGTTGTGGGTGTGAGCTTGTGCGAACAAGCAGGTGAGAATTGATTCACACACCCCAGCGACTGTTGATTGTGCCACATGTGTTTTGCATGCTATCCAAGCAAGGCCAGCATCATTTCCCCCAAGCATAGAGGTATATTGTTCTCAGTTATCAGAGTACTATGCCTGACTATGTTTCCAAAATTTTCCAAATATATACTTGCTTTTGGGCAATATATGCCGGCCATCTTGAATCTTCGTGTGTGTGTGTGACTCGGGCTGGTCTTGAGCTCCGCCTGTAGCGTTTGGAAGAACTGCTGCTGGAATTGCGCAAACTCTTTGGCAGCAGCCTCCTTGTGCTCGATCATCATGTTCTGCCGTCAGTGAACGAGTCGAAGAACGAACTCCCAAATGACAAACCACAAAAGAAACTGAAACAAACCCGGTGCCTAAATGTCAAACCCTGTCGGAACTGGCATTCAAGAGCTCACCAACGGCTATTTTGGTTTGAACATGTTTTGACCGAACTAATTAACGCGCATTGACTGATGCGTGAGCCTTTCGTTCAATTCTGTTTGTCGTCATCTTTCCTCGTCTGAGGACCGTGGTTGGGGATTCTCAACAGAAAGAACAACATGCGCACGTACTGTGCTTAAAACCACGTGTCCCAAGCGGTGTCCTACTGTCCAGGTTGACCTTTTTGGGGGTTCATGCGCCACGCCACAGACCGAACCGCGCCTGAACCGCCTTGGTGGCCAGGTACGACGCGATGGTGTCGCTCTTGGAGATATCGCCTGCGCGAGGACCCGGACCACGCCAAGAAGGGAAGAAACCAAACATAACCAGACCTGACCTGATGTTGTCGATCCATGCCTCAATTAAATTTTGTTTTGATGATTCCCGTGGTGTTGAAGTTCAACCTGAAGGGAAACTGTCCAGGGTCAACATGCCCTACGGACAAATGTTGCCATGGGGCCATGTTGCATGCCAAATCTCGACTTCTGCTAACCAACTGACTGCCGCAAGCACCCATCGAGTACCCAACGTGCTGAAAAAATGAAACCCGATAGCCCGATAGGGCCGATAAAGGTTTTCCTCAGTGATGTGCAACTGAAGGTATAGGTTGTGTGCATACAGCAGTTGTTGGACAGAACTTCTGCACCTGCCGTCCTGTCCATGAAACATAGTGAAACAATGTTTGCCGTTTCAACCATTTGCGCAAGGTCCATGGTTGACACCAGCGCGCCTCTGATTTTCAGAAGCCCGTGCAAAAGTTCAGTGATCTGAAGCGTGCCGCTCCCATCTGCATCTATAATCTCGAACAAGTTGGCACGGTCATGTGGCAAATCCTCAAGATCAAGGCGGGTGAGGGTTGGTAGTAGTTGCTTTGGCCAACCACGGCCCGAGACACTGTTTTTCAGTAGTTCACATTCTCGACTTGGAAAATTACACCGGCATAGACCCCAAATAGCGGGTGTATAGGTTTAAAGGACACGCCGCGGACGGCTGTCACCGCTGCACGCAACATCAGACCATTCCACCAATATGCGCAGCATCTGTCAGCTGAATGCGCCTGCTTTGCCCAATACAGACGTAAAACTGCAAGATCGGCAAGGACCAGCCAAAGCTGCCCACACGACAGGTGACCCTTGCTGCCCAACATGGTGTGACGCACTATATGGCAGCATATCATCCCTGGCATGACCTGATGTCATCCCTGGTGTGACTGACATGCTGTCCATGACATGATGTCACCCCTGGCGTGACATGATTCATGATGTCATGCCAGGTGTGACATCATGTCATCCCTGGCATGACATGATGCCACCTGGCATAACATGACTCTTATCCCTGGCATATCCTGGCATGACATGATATCATCCCTGGCATGACGCAAAACGAAACGCCGATCCAAAGCCAGCACCAGCACCAGCACGGCACCAGCACCAGCAAAGCCGATCCAGCACCAGCATCAGCACGTCAGAAGCACCGGCAAAACAAAAATGCCGATCCAGCAGCAGCCCCTGCAAAACCAAAGCTTGCACCAGCATCACTTGCACCAGCATCAGCACGGTAGCAGCACCCGCAAAACCTAAACGCCGATCCAAAGCCACAGCCTGAGCCACACCCTTAAAAAGCTGGAACCCCTATAGCCTGCAGCTATCTGTGGAAGAAACTGTAGCCACTAAATGGCACTAAACAAATAGTAAATGCATGCAACAATGTATGCATATATGCACATACACATATACTAACTTGTATGTATATATTTATATAAATGGTTGTGCCCCCTGGTCTGATACACTAGAGGCTTACAATATACTAAAACCCCTCCCCTTCACACACTTGTTTCTTGCCAGCTCAGCTCAATGGCCACATTGGTGCAGTTCAAAGCCGTGCAAATCCATGCGTTGTTGCTTGAGTGCCTTACTGCAAGGTCTGTACATGCCCCGTACAGCGACTGACGTAGTGCATCCATCTGGTCTGATAGTCTGACAGTTGAAAATACCCTCATGAAATTGAAGCAAGGCAAGGCCGTAGAAGCGTAGAAGACAGATTGTCGGCTCACTGAGAGGATCGGTCTGGGTATCCCCATGATGGCAGCTTCGTTGAGTGCGGTGTGTAAATCACGCCGCATTTCCTTGCTCTTTGAATTTGAGCAACTCTTCTGAAACTTGAATTTGTTTGGAAAGTTTGCTGCGTTGCTGTGCAAATGAATCCTGCTAGAAAAAAACAGCCAGCACCAAGCCGCAAGGCTTGGAGACCACCAACCATTTTGGATGAGGAAGTGCCGCAAGGCAATACTCATAAACATGGATCAATTTTTTGAGAAGTAAGTTGAGGCGTCTGCAGCAATTTAAGAGGCATCTGCACGAGAACCTTTAAGACATGTCACCCATTCATCTTCACTGTTTCAATGCGTGGTGTGGTCGGTTTGACCAGCGCAACTCAAGCTATGATTGCATCCAGTGCCTTCAGTGGATGCCAGGGTTGCCATTCAAGGAGTCGACACGATGTCGACTCCTTGAAATCGGCATCCGAAACAGCCTCCACCACCGGACTCGCCACCGATGGACTCCTGGAAGTGGATGCCGGACTGACTCCATCTGATTCCAGGAGCCTGTTCACCTCCAAACGCGTCCGATGCTTTAGTCACCGACGGTCAAACTGGCCTCCCGCGGGGGCGCTTCTGAGGATGTTCCTCCCCTATGACTGCTACTTAAAAGCTGGCTGGTCCAGAACGTAGTTTTCAACTAGCAATCAGCGCACAATGCCACAAAACGAATATCGATCCAAGGCTCTTAGCCAACTAAATCTGAATATATAAATCTGATGACCTGCACCTTTATCTCTTGAGCCAAATCAAGTTTATTCACCGGCGCTCTATACACTCTACAAGGCATGGTTTGGGCTTGAAACATGTCGAGTCTGTAATTAATACATATATATAGTTAGACCAATCGTACCCTCCAAGATCTACCTTTCCGCATTCCGCATCATCCAAACTCACCGTCAAATCGTGTCATTCCACCAAAGGCTCCAAATCATCCATCAACTTCTGCACCGATCGGTCCTGCCACTAGGTGGCGGGTCGCTAAGTAGCAAGTCTCAGCGCTTGGGGCACTGGATGGGGAGAGCCCCAGCTGAAGCCCTGAGAAATGATCAAAAACACCTGGTTAGAGATGGTTAGAGATGATCAAAAGCTCACAAGATGCACTAACAAAATGTTAAACATTGTTAAACAGCATTTTGAAGTGGACAAATGTTGACTGAAGACCGGCGCAGTGTGACAAACACTAACATTATTTACACGTACATATGATATTATATCAATTATACTATCGCACTATCGATTAGAGTTATATATATATATATATATCGAGTTTTAACAATAAATATAAACATGTACTGCACTGGCACTGCTAACTCTAGTCCACATGGTTTCTCTGTTTCACAGCATGTCAGCGGCCAAAAAGCACAGGCCGTCCTGAATGACCAGCAAAAACAAGTCTTTGGTGATCGCTATGGACTCGTGGTCGCCGACGTCTGTGTAAAGCCCCCCAGCCGTACTTATCTTGATCTGGCGAAGAGCTGCAGGCACAGTGTTGCTGGGCCAAATGACGATTTGACGATTTATCATTGGTGCTCAGCTGTGAATTGACCAAACCAGCTCCTGCACTATCTATATAACGATTTATTTGCGTTGAATATCCCAGCATTGTTTATGTTTCGCCAGGTGTGGCAAACAATAATTTTGTCCACAAGAATGGGGCCACGTGCGGCCAGCTCTGCGCAGTTTGGCTGCATTATTCGGCTTTCAGGGTCTGTGGTAGATCATGACTAAAAAACACCCAGTGACCAAGGCAGAGTGGTTCAAGGCCAAACACACACACACACCTCTATAGGACATTGTAGGATACCATATCTCATGATACCTCAATAATTGAGCAGGATGCTAGGTTCGGAAGTGGCATTCTGCAAAGCAAAACGAGGCGCATCGCGGCGAATCTGTGGACTATATGAGCCTGCCATACGGTCACATGAGGCCTTGACGACTTATGAGCGCCATGCCGTGTTCCGCAGGACCATGTCCACCGCAAGATGGACCGGTGCCAAAGAAAGTTGCCAAAGAAGGTGCTGACGTAAGTTTCGCAAATTCCGAACCCGGGGTGATTTAGGGGCTTTCTGCGCCCTGGTTCAATAGTGGTATCTTTATTCTTTCCACAAGGACATGTAAAAATGTTTGGAAGGATATGCGCCACCTAATCAACTCAGAAATCGAAGAAACATCCCAGCGAGCCCTCAGAATGAGTCAACTCTCGCTCTCTCTCGAGAGTCAATGTGTGGGTGAGGGAACAGGGAACGGTCAACACCTGCCCATTGCATAGAAAGAGCAAAACGATCAGACTGGTCTCCCACCTTCTTGGATTGTGAGCTGCGCTTGCCCTTGGAACAACAGGGGCTTTCCAGGAAGGCGCTAGCCGCTAGCTGCTAGCACATGACAAGAAAGTCGGACGATGAATTCCAAGATATTCCAAGTGTTTCGCCACACAATTCAACAGTTGAAACTGCACAAATCCCAGCCTAAGTATGTGATTTCATGTAGCAACATCGACATGCAAGGGTGCTCTTTGAGAACCAGTTGCCATCCATGAGCTTCAGAAGTCCCTCCAAAAAGTCTGACTTGCTTCCAAGCCACCTTCTTCTTGTCCTGCCACAGTGAAACCATTGATGTCTGTTTTAAGAAATCATGTCCCGTCTGGGCAGCCTGGTTCCACTATTGTCTAGACTCTAGACTATTGTGCTTGCTGCCCTGTGCGACAAATCCGAGCACCAAAGGAGAGAGTCGGAAAATCAAACAGAACAGACTCGCAGTCTGGATTAAAGACCGCAAAGGTAGATTAAAGCAAAGTCCATCAAAGTCCAATACATACACACAAGCAGGGGCTCACTCTTCCACCTGGAGCAATAATTTTTTTCTTGGGCGTGCCCTGCAAATATTGATTGACACAAGGTCCAATCCATGCACACGGACGTTTCACTCTTCCATCTGCCATAAATCTGTATTGGGACACCGCGCAACTTGCGTAAAGCACGTGGGTGTGCCAACTACTTTCCTTCCACCCACCGTATGTTCAACACAAAGTCCTCTTCGTGATACGTGTGGTATGCACCAGCAAACTTCTTCAACAACCTGCAGGCATCATGGGCGACCAAGCAGCTGCAAGTTTTGGCTCTAAAGGGAAAGAAGCACCTTTCTCCCATGTGGTAGCTTCTGGGTGGAGGGTGCCATGCTGCAAAAAAGGGGTCTGAGAGATTGGAACTAAGACTTTAATGAGTTGTATCAGTTTTATAGACTGACATATCAAAGCTTCCTACGGCCCCCCAAAAGGAGAGGAAGCTCAAAAGGGAGATATTTGATCCCACAAATCTCTTGGGTGCTCGGGATATAGTTCCATCGCCATCTGGGACATAGTAATGTCTGACATCTGGGCCTTGATAAGCTGCAGGAAATGCCACATGGAACGTAAAAAGGTGTGAAAAGTCACCCGGTTTGATGTCACAACACCGAAACCGAAACGTTTCTGTGTTGGAAACATGTGGTTTGGCATTTTTTCACTTCTATATGCCCCCATGTGCCGGAACAAAAAAATCGGATCTATGTCGACATTTGTTGCCTACACTGGGCACGATCTTGGCCAATCTTGGGGGTACCAAAACCACATGTCGAGTCACAAGTTTAGTTAGTGCTACACTGGCGCGAGGCCCCAGTACCCACCTGCCAGTTCCCACCAAAAGAACTTGAGCAGTACTGATACTCCAAGCTTATCTTCCAGTTGCGATCTTGCATCTAAGCAGCATAGGAACGCAGCATCCAAACGACTTTTTTCTACCAAACGACTTTTCCCAGCTAGCTTCATCACCAAAGAAATTGGAGTTGCCCAAACAAAAAACATCAGGAGTTCTGGAACTCCGTCATGCAACTCCCGGTGAACTTCTTTAACCCGTCTGCCTGCCCAACTGCTGGTTTGTCCAAACGAACTGTCTGAACCATTTGCGCTGGCCGTTTCTGCCGCGTCACTCGCGGGTGCAGCGGGCCACTCGCACCGATTCCCGTGAGTGTTGCTCCGCCGTCTGCGCGTCGTTCTCCTGAGAGAACCCGTGAGTCAAGCTCTCCACAAAGGACGAGGGCCGGTTTGGCACCTGAATCTTGTGGGTTGGTTTGCAAACCATGACAGGCGCCGCGGGTCATCTTCATCATGTTTGGGGCCGAAGAAGCTAGTGTATGCCAGTTTATGCTGGCACCACTGTGATTGAATGCAGTGAATGGAAGAGAGATACAAATGGTGGCCTGGAACCATCATGTCACACTGCAAAAATGCAAAAGAGTTGGCATGATTTGACATTCCCAGCCTCTAGTGGTGCAGGAGTTCCGAGAAGAAAGCGATGGCAGCCCTTGGCATTTAAGGCCAGGCTATTGATCTCTGTTTGAGTGCCTAAGCCTATCCAAGCAAGGGTTCCTATTACAAAGAGTCAATAGGAAGACCCCAGATCCTACCGTGTCCTTGGCCGCTTTCATCGTGATATCCACATAGACCTCGGAGAGGGGCACCGGGGAGCTTCGACTCGGTGTTGGATCGATTCCAAGGTCTTTGTGACAGAACGCGTTTGGCTTACCACATGGACACCAAAAAAAAAGCCCTCCACCAACTGCAGGGCGGGAGGACACCTGTGCCAAGCAGCTGCCAGAATCACGTTGAAAATGCCCATCGTCACCTGGATGTCCAATCGCAACCAAGTTTTGGTAGTTGCACTCAACAAAAAACAGACCAAACATGCAAAAATGTAGTCATTACATTGTTTTAATATGTTTTAATATACATCCAGTCCCACTAACATGGTTTTTCCTCAGGGTTTCCTGGCACGCACTTGGGGTTTCCGCAGAGTTGGCGCACCAACTCGGTGCGATCCGGTCCGATCGACGAAAACACATGTGAACCAAAGCTCATATGCGCTCTGTGATCTAAAAGGATCATTCAAACATTCTACAAATGTGCATAGTAAAATTATCAAGTATGATCATTCTAATCATGCCAACAAATCTCAACTGAAGCGAACTGAAGATCGAGGCACAAGCATGTAGCTGGCAATGTAGGAGAAAATGAACGGCCAACCCAGGTAGTCAAAAAGGATCGAATGGATTGGTTTCCCTTCGTTGTTTACGCCTCAGTTGCACGACTCAAGGACAAAACGCCGTCATTCACAAGCTAAACATGAGTCAAAGTTCCACTCCTAGTCTATTCAATAGGTCTAGCCAATTCTTGCCAGTGTTCAACAAACTCAAGCTCTTGATAGTCCTATACAACATATAGATATCTATAGAACAGCTGGTGAGCACCTCCACCGTTCAGTTCATGCGTCACATCTCAGCCACACTTGGGTATGCTTTGGGCCAGGCTCCGGGGCGCCCGGGGAATGCACCGGGCCCCTTCCACCGTTTGCTTGGATGGGTGCCCGTGATCTGTTTCAGCGAAAGCCCCATCGGGCTGTTTTGGTTCAATACGAGGGCGATGGGGCACCAAATGGCACCAATCAACGCCCAGAAACATTTATCATCACTGCAGTTCGAACAGCACCAGCAAGCCCAATCCTCCAGCTTGCGTGTCAAAACCACCGGGTATATAGATATTCATGAGGTCCGTACATCTGCCTTAGGCTGGTGCCAAGGCACATTCGCCCGTGAAGCAGCGAAAGGCGGTGAACATGGAGATCGGGATGTTCTCGAAGTACTTTGCCAAGTCCTCCACGATTGGAACCCTTGAAAGTGTCTAGCTGGGTTCAATTCATCTTTTTTTGAAAACTTGAAGCTCTTCTCATGGACCTACGCAGCAGGAAATTCATGCCTACCCCTTTTGGCAGGCAAGTCCCCACAAACACTTGGACACCCAAAAAACGACTGCAACAATATCTGCATGCACTGTTTGCACGTGTCCATTCTTTGCCTTCTTGCCTGTAGGGTGCTATGCGAGGGTGTGGGCTCTCAAAGAGAGTAGCCTCGACCGGGTAATAGTTCATGACGATGATTCGTGCAAAGGCTGCTGCGAAATGCTGGAAACAACAAAACATACATTACATCGCATATACTTTGATATTTTTTGATTTAACACAATCTCGGAAGTGTTTCTCTACCACACCAAACAATACGATTTCCGGTTCTATGCTAGCCTGCGTTCGTCCGAAGCGAAGCGATCCATTCATGCCAACAGCCCTCATGTCCTCCCGCTTTGCCATGTCGTTCTCTCCAATGGCGATGGTCGCAAAGCCTGTCAACAAGCACGGGAGTGCAGAATAAACAAAGCAACAAAGGACATTCCTCAGCAGTGGCACTGGTCATTACTAACCTTCCCAAGATCCTTACTTCCATTCCGGGCACATAATTTTCGCAATGCCTGGTGCTTCTGTCACAATTTGCCCGCGAACTGACAGGCCTCTTGACTCTCTCGATGCCAAATGGATCCACATCAGAAATGAAAAACAAATCAAATCATTCACCTGGTTTCACTTGTAATTAGGGTTGTTCCCCTTGCACCCATCCATCCATCACCATCCTGGGTGCCATCGCTAAAGGCACTTCCCCCAGTTCGGCCAACGGCCCTGCCCACACTATTCCACACATGCTTCACCCACATTGAGTTTCCATCCATTGCCGCAGGTGGCCTGAAATCACATAGAGAACTCCGAAGAGGAGCATAAAGGCCAAAGCCAGAGTCCTGACCGCTAGTCTGTCGCTGTGATCGCAAGGGGCGTAGAGGGTCCAAGTAGGTTGCACAAACCGAGACATTCAAAGCTGCCAAAAGCTACTGTGCTTCTAATCATTGCATTCCCCATCCAACACCACCATGAAAAACACATCATCTAGTGTTTGAAGACTCTCAAGTCTTGCAACTCATCTGCAGCAAAACGGTTCACATTCCCCTCGAGATCAACACAGGATACAGTGACCGCGGCTTTGGCTTGACCCTCGCGAGGTGGGCAGCTTGGACATACTCCAAGAGCTTCAATATGTCTGCTCGCTGCCCGAAGCCAAAGGTTCGCTGTTGGCTGAACTCTTGCACAATATATGATAGTATATGTGTATATATGGCTGCCAATTCTGACTAACACCCAATTGCATTGGCAAATGCAGAGTCATTATATATATAATATAAAGAGGGAGATTCAATAATGTGGACCTCTGATTAATAAACGTCCCCAGAATAATGTCTATTTTTTTTCGTGCACTGATTAATAAAGGCCCCCAGAATAGAGTCTTTTTTTTGGAGGGATACTTTCTTTTTTTGTGAGTTTTTCATTGTTATATATTGTTATGTTTCCTCTCTGGCTTACTGATTTTCAAGATCTTTCCATGCAACTTTCCTTTGGCACTTTCTTTACACAAATCCATTATTAAACCGTAAAACAAACAAATATTCCAGCAAAGGGGGTAGTCCAGCAAGCAAGTTTCTGTCATTATTTTTTGGGGCCCCTAAAATAATGTCTAGAGATTTGGAGCTTCTTGGATTGCAGCTTTCTTAAAATTGATCATCTTTCTTTTGTGTTCTCTTCCTTTAGCTTTGCTGTGCTTAGTTATCATCAATGCTTTACTTTTCATAAGCTCTTTAATCGTTAAGACTTCCAAAAACTTCCAAAAAGTATGTGCGCACTCTCTTTACAAAAATCCATTATTAAACAGTATTGAAAAATCATTCCAGCAAACGGGGTAGCCCAGCAAGCAAGTTTCTGTCATTATTTGGGGGGGGCCCTAAAATAATGTCTAGAGATTTGGAGCTTCTGAGCTTCTTGGGTTGCAGCTTTCTTAAAACTGATCCTCTTTCTTTTGTGTTCTTTTCCTTTAGCTTTGCTGTGCGGTTCACCTGTAGGGTAAGGTTTTGAGATTTCCATTGAGATTTGATGATTTTGAAGGTCTTTGAATACAGATTTCTATTTAAGTTTTCAGATTTCCATTGAGATTTGATGTGCTTGAAGGTTTTTGATTGCAGATTTCCTTTCAATTAGTATTGCCAGAGATAGCTAAGTAATGATTCTTTTCATTTTCATCAATTGATTGGTTTTCTAGCATATTGTTCTGGAGTCTCAATTGTTGAGGGGGGGGAGGTGGGGGTTGATTAATCAAGAGTCAACATTATCATTTAATATATAGCAGGGGGTCCCTCAGTGCAGGATTTTGGCCAAACACTGCGTCCATCTGCCACCAGGTCTCCGAATCCCTGCGACCAGGCCCTTCACCATGAGCCGCAAATCTTTCATGGCCTTCAGCATTTGCTCATGCCAAATCTCCAAAGGAATGACACTCTCCAGGTCATGGCTGACCATTTTAGTCAACTAAAAGCACCCCCAGGAAGAAAATTACGGGAAAAGAGTCTCGTCTACGTCCAGCTTGCAGCACACTCTGAGAGATGGGATACAGTACCAATGGCATCCAGCAGGTTGCATTTCCATACATTTGCCATGTCTCAGAAAAACCCAAATTGCCAATTAGGCCTGGCTGGATGCTCTATATATTTTGAAGTTTCAGGATTAGGTTCTGCTCGATTCAATAACACCGAATGGGGATGTTTGCTGAACGATTTTAGGGTAGACATTAGGCTAGAATATGCTCGAATTGGTCATGGCGCCAAACCACCATCTCAGGTTTCAGTCTGTGATCCAAGCCAAATTGGAGATGTCCGGATTGACCCAGTTGGTTATGTCAATGTTATGATGTTTGGTCGGTCCAGCTTTGCCCGTCTTCAAGGCCCCTCGCAAGCCTTGACCCAGTGAAACCGATCCGAGAAAACATTGCCGGCCTTGATTCGAAAGACCTTCACGATGCGGACCAAGCGAATCAGTCGGCAAAAGCGCAACAACGAGGTGCCCTCAACACCACCTCAAGCGCAATTCTTTTTTCAAAGACGTGATTGGATCTTTAAGGCTCTCACTGGATACAACAAATGCGGTTCTGGAGGCATGTTAAAAAAGGCTCAGGGGGAAATCAGGGAGACTGATAATTTCTGGGAGGAGGGACAATAACAATCAAAACAATATCCCCTGTCATGCTTCCTGCATGAAAGATATTGAATTAGGTCGTTACAGCATGTGCAACGTGTGCAACTTCGCGCGTGCTTGAGGTTATGTCATGTGTGACGCTTTTAGCATGTTCTCTGAACAAAGTAACTAGGGTTCTAGCCCTTGGGTCTATCCTATTACCTATAACAGTGGATGATGGTGGTTAGTAGAGGCCTTGTCCAAAACTAGTGATTTGCTTGTTTACTGACTGCTACAGGTCAGAAGGGACAGACCCAGCCCAGTGATCCAAACCGTTGAACATCTGGAGAGGTTGGTCATTCTGCGTGCCGCCCAAGCTGGGTGTCATCGAGACCGCCCGGCCACAACCCTCCAAGATCCTCACTTGTCACTTGCGACATGCTACGGCTATGGCATGCCAAAGAAACTGGCACTTGAACCGCAGTCACCCAAGAAAAAACAGGGCGTGTCCAGGAACATCAGCAAAACAGGAACGTGGGCTTTTCTGGTGCATGGCCGCCTTGGTAATTCATCTCCAAGCGACCGCCCTGCGTTAGGAGCTGGATGGCCAGGTCCGCTACACCAGTGGCCCCGAGTACTAGATCAAACCAGTTCCAATACCTGCGACTCATCGAAGGGCCAACTGGGTGAGGTGTGTTCTTGTCGGATGAAGGTGGGTGGTTGGAATCACGTGGAATCACCGACAATCCGGTTCCCAGGACTTGGATCTGCCAGAACAAACGCGTGCGTACTGAGTACTGCAGAAAAAAAAAACATAAAGTGTGCTCACCGGGCAAGTGCCAAGCGAAGAAGCCAGGTTAGGCGATGTACTGGGGATGTGGGGGCTATGTGGCACTGCGGGCCAAGTGACAGTTCAATCCTTGATTCATGGACGGCCAATCCTCAAGAAAGGCCCTACCACTCCCCCGCCACCCCGAAAGGCTTCCAAAATCTTCCAAATGCTTCCGGGCTCCATCCAAGGAGGTTTTCTTGGGGTTTCTGTGGACCGGGCGAGGCATAGCTGACCAGGATCGAATTGTCTGAGTCTGGCCACTTCAAATGTAAAAACAAGCGATCCTACTCAGCCAGCTGCCTCACTTGGAAATGTGCGGGTCTTACTTGTCTGCACAGCCAAATCCGCCATCCTCTGTGCATGTGCAGAATGTGCTGTATATTATTGCGCTATATCAAACATTTCTCTTGACTCAAGGGAAGGCTTAAAACACACTCCAGCCATTCTTCCAAGCACCAAATGTTGGAATTGGAGCCGTTCATCTCAACGACAATGCCCCCAAACTTTGCGACTTTTGTATCTTACTTCTATGGGAACTCCCATGCCTGGCCTGTCAGGACCACACCAATATTTCCGACATCGCAAAATCCGCATCCGCAAAAGGATCTCCTCAGTGTGCCGCCCGCCGCTAGCCTTTCGCCAAACAAGGGTGAGTGGTCACCCAACTTGTTATGTCCATGTGTTTGTTGGTCGTGAGTGTCACCTGCGGAGTCGTCAACAGGACATGTCTGCATGATGTACTCAACGGGACAAAGTGGACTGGCCCCTGCAGGTTCACATGGACCTGAAGAGACGGAACTACAACCCGACGACACTTTTCCTCTACAACCCGAAGTGGTTTTCAGGTTCCATGTTTTGTTTAAACAAACAGGGTTGGTTCCAAGTTCATCTGCAGGGGAGTATTTGTGCAACACCTGTCGCCCATCACCCCGGCTGCTTCGGAAGTTGTGAATTTGCAGCTCAGCCACGAGAACCAGGAACACGCCGAAGACAGCCTCAAAGTATATAAATCCTGCAGGATACTGGGAGAATGAGCATCCTTTTGTCTCCAAATCCCTAGTCGCTTCCCAAGCTATCCTGTTTTTGTGTTGGGCTTTGACCTGCAGCAATCTGGAGATCCTTTAGAGCATATATCAGTCACATGACAAAGGGGCAGGGAGGCATGATGCCCATGTGGTGCCCTGGGTGAGTTACTGGTCTATTCTGCTTTGGACTCTGGAGAACGCCGAAGGGGGCTGCATTGAAACACACACCCAAAAATGGTCCGATTGCGAACAGAAATGGTGCCTTTTGCCTCTCACCAGCTGGGGAGGTCCGATTGAGAAGGAAGGATAGCCTGTTGGGCAGAAAACTCCTCAAGTTCGAGGTATGTTTCATGTGTCGAACTGAAAGCTACTCGTCACTCAGCCAGTGAACGTGAGCTACAGTTTATATAATTCTATACCTAAGTCTGTGTGTAGGTATTATGTATATAATGTATAGTATATATGTACATATGCATAGGGACAATGTGTCTTGTTTAGTCCAATGGTCAAAGAAATACCTAGAATGCCGCTTCAAATTAAACTATTAAACACTTCAACAGCTCAATCACCAAACATGGTGTCGTTGTGTTTGCTAACTTGAATCAGCAAGCAAGCCCTCGGAAAACTACACGAAACCGACACCGAAACAATGGTTGTTCCTTTGAAACTCAGCGCATGTCTACGCTGCATTGTTTGAGAGAACTGTGCTTCGAGCCCCCTTCCCAATTGGAAAAGCAAACACCTCATCTTTTTCTCTCTCCACCAACCTGCCCAACATTCATTCCCACCAAACTCTGCACAGGTTTCTCCGGTACCCCTGAATTCCCCAACAAGACTCTAGTACTACCACAAGAATCCTATTCTTTTCCAACTTTTGCGCTGCACACTTTTCCCACTGTTCACCACACATTTCCATATTTCCCAGTGCTGGCAACACTTTTCCCATTATTTTAACTCTCTTTCTTTCATGTGTCCCACGTTGTTTCCAACTTTTGTAACCTTTCTGGGATAACCTTCCGCCTGTTCATTGTGAAGCAACCATGCCAAATGCACAAGGGGACATGTTGCCCTTTGTAAGCTTTACATAATGATGCATTCAACTGGTTGTCCGTTTCCTCTGAGTTTAGCCAGGTCCTGGTCGATCAACCACAGGAGTTGTCTTGGGTGACTCTCAACTTTTTCACTGTGTCATGCCTGCCAGTATTTAAACTTTAAATACACAATTCCGACGAAATCCGTAACACATTGCAAGGGAATCTCCAGGGACAAGTGCTGGAATTATATATATATAGACTTGACAAAATTCCGCTAAAGAACCATATTTGCTCACCTAGCGTAGATTTTGGGTGCTCTAAACTCCTGCGCAGTCAAAGAACTCTCCATATGTCGGATCAATCTGTCCTGGCCAATCTGCATATTCAGGATCTGTTTGGAACCCGATCATGATGCCATTCGCCACCTGCGAACCGGAACAGTCACACCCAGAACATCGACCATGTCAGTCATGTCCAAAACATCGGAATCACATGCAGGTTCGGCCTTAACACGTTTTACACATTTACTCATAATTATTCTGAAATTCACCGTTTTCGCACCCCCCATGGGTTTGCCATGATTTGCCCAGCAAAGTTCGTTTCGGAAACGTTCCGACGTCCCGTTGCAGCTTTATAATGCCAGGTTCCAAAAGCACAGCAAATCCCTCATTGGTCAACCCAGGTCACCTCTGATTCACGGGGAACGGCCTTCTCCTTTCTCACCCTATCTATAGATCAAGTGATGCACTACCCCAGTGGACCGGTCGAACGCCAGTGGACCGGTCACAACGCTGTTTTGCATCGGCCCGTGCGTTGAACACACGCATGTCGAGACCTCGGGACTCCCTGGACTTGCAGTCCCTGGACTTCTGGCGAACAAACGTCCCAAGCCAAGTAAGTATATAAATACATCAAGTAAACACATCAAGTATAAGTATATAAGGAAACACATCAAGTAAGTAAATAATAGTAAATATACACATGCCATGGGGGCCGAGCTCTGAGTCATGGCCCCTCACGCCTACAAACGTTCAACAAGTAGTGTATCAGTCCAAACGCATTATGCAGCATGCACCACGTGACTAATTCTGCAAAAGAATCCTCTCTACACGGTTTTCCCCATGATCGCATGGAATCCACACCATGGCGGAGTGCTGACAAATCTGTGGGGGAGGGGTCACCACTAATGGGATAATACCGCAACATGCTCAATCAGTATAATTGCAACATGATACAACATGCATGATGAACTATACTATTGTGTGATATCCTGAATTAGTCATGAGGCCCAAATGGACTTGAAGGTCCACATGCCTTTCATCCATCCCCAGCGTGACTTCCCAAGCTCTCCCCATCCACGTATGCTGCGGAAGTAACAATCAGAATGGCAACAAACGGCTCCAAGTACCTGCACATATCTCCAAACATGCCGGCACTAACTTGAGGCCAGGGGGAGAGGTCGAAAGCTAGCCGAATCGCACCGGATGTACTAGTTACATAGTCGGCAAAGCATGTAGGGATTACATGTTTTGGGAGGAAGGTTGCTATGTACATACTTTGCGCTAAAGAATGTAAATGTGACATCGCTGACTGGGAAGGGTACATTGGAACAACCCGGGTGCACTCGTTGGCAGGCACGAAGATGCGTGATCGGCAAGTCTGGGGGGTAAATTTACCCTCCGCTTTTGTATGCCTTGAGTCGGAAAGATGGGTAAGCATTTCTGACATCATACGGACTGTACATACACTAGGGCGTCTGTAGTGTAGGAGAAGCACGGGTAAAAGGTATATGGAATAGAGTGTCTTGAGGAAATAGCCGGTGTATGGTTATTGCAAATCTGGGGGGTAAATTTACCCCCCGCTTATGTATGCCTTGTGCTGGAAAGAGGGGTAGGCAT